GAATACCGAGATCAATTAAAGAAAAATTAATCCACACGAAAGTAGATCGTGGCAACGAAGATAAAATATTATATTTATTATATTTATTATTATTAGCTACCGAGAATACAGAGAGCTTGAAAAGTTCGGACAAAGAGACGATATAGATTCTGAATCGATCAGCGTTCAAATCTGAATGTGTGCACAGGTGCATTAAAAAGTAAAGACAAGACCTAAGTTGAATAGTGGGGAGCATCAAAGTTAATTAATTTCAATAACTTAGAATTATTCAGGGTGCTATTAATAACGTTATGAAGAAAATTAGTGGGATTCTCCTAAGCTAGAGAAGAGCAAATCTAGCATCTTTAAGATGCTTCATGATGAGATCATATTTGTGACATAAGGCATCCACATTGTAACGTACAAGTATCCTCAGAAATCTGTACTGGACTCCTAATTGTAAGACGTTGATTTGTCAAAAATAATGTGTTTACAAATTACTTTATTTCAACTGCATATTGCATACTGTTTTTCGACACTGTTTTAATACTATTTTCGTTCAAGTATCAAGATAGCGAGGTTCTCCCCAGCTGTTGTTGCTTGGAAATTTTGAAACGACGGCGACTATATCACAGACGATTTCGTCGCTCAATACGCGTGGAGCGATATCTGATACGATGATATTCCGTGAGATGGGACGAGAGCCTCGCAAGCCTCCCGTTTAATTGCTTTATCGAACATCAAACTATCCGTGAGAGGGTAGCCGCAAATGTGTTTGCCTATATTCCAAGAGTTCGCATGTGTTCGGCCCTAGAGGAGGGAAGGATAGGGTCGCGTTTTGCCAACCTGCTCGGAAATCCTCTGGTTCGATAGGCTGAGAATTCGCCGATGGCGCGGACGTGCATGTATGCGTGTACGCCGGTGCCATTAGTTTTGACGTGGATACACTGCGACAAGGACAATCGTCGTTTAAAACGTCGCGTGTTTGATACCTTCACGCTGGCTCGAATCTTGGTCACTCGTTCATTACACAGCTGACGATCAACGCCTTTCGTGTGTTGTTTTCTTTTTTCTTCTTCTTTTTTGAAAGAAGAAAAACGAGTTCCGAGAAGAAATTCGAAGAAGAAACGTCCCTCGTTGACTTTGTCGTTCACTTCGACAGACGGAGCGGACGAACGGAAATTACAATCGATACCAGCCGATTGCGCGCCGTGTTTTATCGCGTTTGTGCGGCCGAGCATCGATCGGCGACCTTGACACAGTCGTGTCAAACGATGCATTTGGGGAAAAGCGAAAATCGAAAGTCGACTACCCTCTCAGGGCCCGCTCTTTTTTTTTTTTATTACAATTGTCCGATGAGAGAACTATGTACAGTAGTACGTAGACAGAGGGAAAAAACCGGTTCCGTGCGAAAAGACAAAGAAAAATATGCTAGAGGATCGTGTGTGCAAATACGTGCATTATGACCCCGATTCATGTAATTGAAGGATTTGCGGCAAGAAGAAGGCAACTCCATTTTTTACACACTCCATTTTTTACACATCCTACTTAAGAGAGAATTCACTTGGCGCAAAAGGAAGTTAGTTTTAAGTGTGAATGTTGATCTGACTATCAAGTTATAGCACGTTTGGGACTGTGATTTTTAATTGCTTTTCGGTTCATTTACTAAGATTGTCGGACACGGAGCTGCCCCTTTGCCAGCAATTCTTTCATTTTTTAATCTAATGTCTACCCATGAATTTATGTTTACCATGTGTTTCTACTACACGTGTTTGTGTCTGTCTAATTCTCACCTGTCTTTCATTTTTCCACCTTGAATTTGAAATTAAATTTCCAGTTAAATTTGCAATTTCTTTTATCAACAGTAAATAGACTAAATTATATATTATGATATACTAATATTTAATATACTAATGTTGTCTATTATTTACTAATAGTAATAATAATAATATACTAATATTGTCTATTATTTATTAATAATAGTAATGTAGACTAAATATTAGTAATACTAATAATACTAATAACAGTAATAGAGTAACTAATAACTGTTATAATAGAATTGGACTAAATTATATAAGACTATCATTATATTAATTCATAATATTAACAATAATATAAGACTATCAATTAACATAATATTAACAATTATATAAGACTATCAATAAATTAATTCATAATATTAACAATAATAGACTAAATTATTAAAATGAAATATTAATATGAAATTGAACATCTATACCTGGGTGGGTTCTATTCTATAGTGTATACTGCATTACTACAATAGGTTATTCATACTATTCAATAGTGTGCTCAATAATCTATTCTCACAGTCAGGTATAAATATTTCATGTCGTGATCTTACACTCTTTTCTATGAGAAAAATGTGTCAAATTAACACAAGAGACAGATGTAGAATATACGTGCATAACTGTCAAAAGTGAAGTTTCGTATCTCATCTCCGATAACCGTCAGCAACAAACAAATATAAATCTCGATTTCCATTTATATCAATATCGATACATATCTATACAGAGAACTCTAGTTGTGAAACAAATAATTTATATAATTGAAGTTCTGATTAATGGAAGTCCATTGATTATACTCTCTCACTGCTAGTAGTTTTTCGTTCATATAACAAGACGTCAGTTCTTGATAAATTGCATGGGGCATTGACTGAAAATTTGGTTCAAATAAATGCAGT